TTAATTTTTTTGCAGTGTTCTCACTACCTAGAATGGATATGAAATATATTCGTTCAGTTGAAGGCAATAGCATACTTTTTCGTTTTGTAATCTGTGCGTAGATAAGCTAATATCCATGTGGGTGTAGAAAAAATATATTTTGTTTGTACTGTATTACGGCGAAATGATGTTATTCGCAGGATATGCTTACTTAATGATTCTGTACTTTGTACAAAAAATGGATAATATGTGGGTGTAGAAAAATAAATGTCAATGTCTACCTACATAGATCATTGAATTAATAAGGGCAATAGAATTATCGTTCCTAAGAAAACTTGTAAAAAAGTAGAACACGATCAAATATACATATATTCACCGTAGGACGTATTTTATAATATGGAATCCTTATTATACTCTAGATAAAATTGGACTTGAAAGGCTTTAAATTAAATTTATTTTCGATTCCACTTGGATCTTTATCCCTGCCTAAACTATAATCATGCTTGCTCACTGACGTTTTCGTAAAAACCAAAATGTTAACTCAAAAAATAGACACGCCAGCTTATTCCTCAAAATCTATTCAGGGTTGGCCAAAATTTGAGTAATGATATCATCCCAAGTTTTTCAAATGGCCACACCCTTTTTTGTAGTACCAATTAAAAGAGCTCATTTTTTGCGTATGGGAGTCAAATTTCGTGATATGTTGAACAACAATGTTTTCGAATGAATATTGGAATTATTTTTTAAATCAAATTAAACAACTTATTTATTATTTATTTATTGATAGTTAATATTTTCAATTTGATACAATTACGTAGCGGTGTTCTTATTACCTATAATTAAACCTCAAAATACCCAAAATATTTTGAACTCGGTGCTCTATAGTCAATACGGACAAATCGGGCAAATAGATCCCCTCTAGAGTGCCAACAAGAATGAAATGTGTTATACAAAGGCTTTTTAATTGCGTTAACACAGTTCAAAATTAGTAATATAGCCTGTAAGGATGGTTAATTCTGATTCTGGTGTCCAGCTTACTGAAAGGCAGGTAATCTGAAAAGCTATAGATTAGATCAGAAGTGACTGAAAGAAGATCACTGATATCTAAAAGGAATAGTGTTGTGATAAATATTGTCATCCATTATTTACAACAATTGATTTTTAGTATCTTTTGACATATTTTATTGTTCATTTTGGTGCTGAGTTTAGGACAGATTATTTCCCTCGTACATTTAACTTGTGTAGTTTTGTTTTTGAAGTTGATATACATTAATGTATAAGAATGTCCTATATTTATTATCGATTAGATTTAGGTAATATGAGGACACTTTATTTACTTTTATAATGGTTTAATTTAATGAATTTCAAGAAAACAAAGATTACATCAGTAGTAATGTGATAAATGTAATATAATTACGAAATGTATACTACATTTTGGTTTGGGTTTTCGATGATATTATTATTATTATTATTATTACTATCTATTTATTGCAAAATAATAATGATGCAAGCGATATGAAAACACATAGTGAGATCGGATAGCATAAAAATATTTCAGTATTGCGATGAACATGCCCTTTTGCTTATAGTTTCTACATAATATATATCGATCAAAAAACGCCCCAGACATCAAAAATTTCGGTCAAGTTATCAAAGGGCTTGAGAAACTGGTTTTAGGCATAGACTGATCCACTTAAACGCAATATTTTTTAATAAAACCCACTCGTAAATACGTGTTGTATACCAAAATATGACGTTTGTAATGTTTTTAAGCTATTAGAACTAGAAGAGCTTTCTCAGGTTTCTAATAAATTGGTATCACAAATGTTCCCGGCTGGCGTAAATATTAGATATTAATTTTTTTTTGCAAGATTTATAATAGTATATTATGCAATGATCATGTAATGATGATATGGTTTATGCGAGTGTTTTAATAACCATTACATGAGATTTGCATACGCTATTTTTTCTACACCCGATAAATAATCAAGACCTATAAATATTATATTTATATTGGTATTGAACACAATAACAGTAATTACTCGTATTTCTATAAAATAAAATTCTACAAAATTGTAATTAATGGTATTACTTCGGGTATTGATGTTTCCCTAGATTTTTGCGGCAAAATATTTTGTACTGTATTTTCTGCTTTCTTCGATATGTGTGGAGGAGTCTTCTATATCGCTGATATCAGACATTTTAATATCATAATTATCGAAGTTTAGCTCTACGAAAATTTAATTCGTTTTGACAACTAAAACAATTACATAGGAACCTAGGACAAACGTCAAACAGCATGCTTGATTGAAAAATTGTAGGTTTCTATTAATTAAAAATCTGTATCGTAATGAAAAATCTGTAGCATAATGGGTATCATTATGAAACGGATTATGGGCATATAGTGCATTATTATAATACGGGTGTAGAATAGTATATTATTAAACGAGCAACTTATGGTAGCCATTATTCACGCAGGGTGACGTTTGCGTCCCGAACCGTAGGCGAGGGGCGCAAGTCACCCGAGTGAATAATGGCCATAAATTGCGAGTCTAATACTATAATTTGTCCACGACCATTATGGTTTCTTTATTAAATAAAAGTTAAGTGTAGAATGGAAAGTTTTTATTAAACATAGGTAATTAACTGTAGTTTTTTCCACTTTTCAATTTTCGATTTTTTGATTTTTCGATTTTTCGATTTTTCGATTTTTCGATTTTTCGATTTTTCGATTTTTTGATTTATCGATTTTTGATTTTTCGATCTAGAAAATATCGTTATGAAAAGTATCGCCTATCTTTAGTTATCTACCGGAATGTGCCAGAATTACAAAAGCGTAAATTATCATAATTCACTCCGTGATATATGGGTACTATATGCTTTTAGTTAGGAGAATATTAATTTATTCTTAAGTGGTCGTGGACAAAAAATATTAATTTTTATTTTATCAGTGTTAACTATTTCATTATTAAGCTATTGCACAGATTTTATCGCGGGCTTTGAGCGCGGCGACCGAATCAAGAAATTCCGTAACTAAAATAAACCTAACCCCTCGAAAAATCGATAAACCGAAAAATCTAAAAACCGAATAATCGAAAAATCGAAAAAGAAATTCCGTAACGAAAATAAACCTAACACCCCCCACTCCGACCGGCACAGCGGTGCGGTGTTGAAAGCCGTGCATCGTCTAACGTCGTTTCAGTTCGGCAGACTTCGTCACGGTGTTTGTGTGAGTGCGACTAGAGGTATGCGTGTAGACTAGCTGCTAACTGCTCATAACTGATTCTATCTCTTTTAGACACAATTTCGGAAAAATTGAATTTGAAAATGAATAATGATCCACAAGAATTCACAACAAAATATGGGACCACCATTGACGCGGTATTTTCCAGATATTTAGAGGATATCAAGTCTCAAACTTATGTTTCTTATTTAGTTACCATAAACCTATAGTTTCAATGATAAAAATTCCTGAATAACCTACATGTATTGTAATATAATAAAAATATTTTAAACAATATTAACTTCTCATATATTCAATAAAAGAAAAAAAATTGTTTTCTTATCGGTCACTACGCTCAAAAAGTGTAACTTGAATTAATATCAAAGAAAAAAAAAATACTGCATAAATAAATAATTATAATTGCATAAGTTGATAAAAAATGTCATGCAATAGCTTTACCGCGGCAGTCCCCGAGTGCCACAAGTATTTTATATATTTTTTAATATAGTGGCCATCTAAATGTCAAAAAAATTACATTTTGTCTACATATTCGTGCTTGGTATCAATTTCAATGTTCTTGTACTCAATGAATTCAGTGGAAGTAGTTAAATTTTGTTGAAATGAATCTGGAAAGAGATAATAAATATAATAACTTTATACGAATTTTATCTTTTCAGTATCACCCAGTAAATTGTATCGGTCATCGGACTACGCCTGTATAAATGCTAAAATATCTCTTGCTGATGCATCAGATGAGACATGAGTCGCTTCTTGTACGTTGTACGTGATAAAAATACACATCAACAAGATGACATTGTCGACCTTTAACAATAGGAAGGTAGATTGAATTTAAAGTGGGCGTCTCATTTTGATGTAAAGATCCAAAAATAAGACAATCGACCATTTTAGATTCTTGTGATTCACTTAAATGTACAGAACATAGAACCTTAGAGCATAATTATTTGTAAAATACGATATTAAAAATAAATTACATTAATAAATTTGTCCTCTAGATCTAAAACCCGTAGACACCTATTCGTCTAGGTCAAATAGCATGTATATTTCTCATATTTGACTAGTCATATACAGCTGTTGTAAATATTTTTCAAATAAAACACTCTTTTCTAAAACAATATTATATGTATATATGATAACATTTTAATCTAATCTTTTTAAAAATATATCAAATTATAATAAAACATTTCCTCAAAAACTGATCCAGTTTACATAAAATTCATAAGAAATTAAGCGGTAATCTGTACATACAGAGTGCTTTTGAATAAATATAGCGGTTTAACGAAAATAAAAAAGAGGGTGTTGAAATGGAATTTGATGTTATTTCATATTTATAGTTAGAGGTATTGCCTTAAAAACTATTACACAACTATTTGTCGAATAATTCGGCCACACTTATGTAATAATAAATCTACAGTGTGTCGCAAAAAAGTATGCACCATATTGATACCTTTTTATTGTTGACGTCTCAGAAAATATTATACTTTAATAAACTTCATATACAGTGCTAGCAAGATCAAACTTTTGGTCCTGCTTTTCTTGTATTGTGTTCGAACATGCAAAGAAACTGCGTAAAACATAAAGACACAATTTGAGGTTAAGATGTTTGGGTTGCTCGGTTTGCTGGAACATAAACGCCTCTAGTGGTAACAAATTTCAGTAAACGTACCCCCATTTATACGTTGCAGTACCTAATTCAAAAATATCACACCCTGTATTGCAATAATTGTAAAAGCGCATAGCCAGGAAATAAAAAATGAACAATTTATCTTTTGAAAGTTCAGTCAAATTTTGTTTGACAACCTGTGACAGTTTTTCATCCCTGTTTTTTTAATATTACAATTATTCCATGTAAATAGATCACCAGGAAGGAAACTTTATAACTTCAGAACACAACAGTAAGGACAATTTTAAAATTAAACATTTAAAAATAATAAATTCAACCAAATTTCTCTCATTCAAACGTGTGCAGTCATCAATGTGTCTTCAGGATTGAATATCAAGATATTTTCGCAGAACAGATATGTTTTTGTCGTTTTGAATTTATACATACCTACACTAGGTATAGCGGTTTGGTGAGCTCACATTTTAAACTGCATGTATTGTATTATTCAATAATGAAAAGAAAACCATATATCTGTTCATACTTACAAAGATATACAAAAATATCGATTAGTGTTGACAACTAAAATTGGAACGCTTCACTAAATTAATATAAATTACTATATTATATAATATAAATTATTTTTTTTAATAACTTGTGACATTCCTTTTGACTTGATAACAGCTTAATTACTATTTGGCAAACTATTCACAAGCTTTGTAGAAAATTCAGGGGTTACTGTTTCCCATATATTAGTTTTAATTTGACTCTTACATTTGTTATTATTCTTTAAGGATTGTTTTTTTATTTGGTTCATTTTGCGGGACCGCGCTTTGCTCGTCCCGCAAATATTCCCTCGTTACACAAAATAAGACATTTCGTAATTGGTTACATAAATAGCTATTATATTATGTTGTGCAAACTAATCCTTAGTTGAACGCGCAGTATGGCTTGTAGAGCCATCCAGTTGGAAAATAAAATCGTCAATTCCACATAATTTACCAAAATTTGGCAGTAAATTATTTTGTCTGTTCTTTTGAGATAATCTTTACATAAGCTTCCTTTCTTATTTCAATTCACTTGTTTCCTATAATTCCCCACTGAAACGTCTTAGACTCATCATCGAATATAACTTTTTTCCGGTTGTCCAAAGTCAATAGAGATTTTTCTTTGATCTAGTAAATAAGTTACTTATACTATACAATTAATTCAAATACTCATTTAATATTGCATATTTACCTTGTAAAATGCAAGTCCGGTTTTATGTGTATGTTTCCGACAACACTCATACTCAACCGGCGGACCGCATACATCCCTTCAAACTTTTTTTGCGGCTCGAAACACTATTAAGAAGGTGCTTTTTAAAACTATAGGTTTCTATTTTTAAAATCTTGAGCGAAATGCACAAAAATATTCATCGGTCACTGCGCTAAATATCACAAATTTTTAAATAAACGTTTGGATTTTCGTGGGGATTCTGTAAATACCGTCAAACGGGGTTAAGTGAATCACAAAGGGTAAAGTGAACCATTCGGTCATTTCCGTTGTAAGTGACGAATATTATATTTTTAGTTCGTAAATTTCCTCTTTGCTTTATGATTAAAAGCTGCTTTTTTTACTATTTTTAAATAAACGTTTTTGTTCTTTGTATTACGTTTATTTATTTTTCCAACCAAGTGTTTAAAATATTTTTTTAGTGGTTCACTTTACCCCGACATTTGCCAAAGTGATTTTCTTTGTGATTTAAACCATGATTCACTTTACCCCAAAATAAGGGGTAAAGTGAATCACATTTTGCCAAAAAAATTGGGCATTTCTAAGTAAAATAAAAATTGGTTAATAGTGAGAGGTAAGCCCCAAACAACATACGTTATTTTTTACAGATTTTTAATATTTGTAGTTTTCTAATATTTTGAGAAAAACAGCTTTTTGTGATTCACTTAACCCTGTTTGACGGTACATAATAACTCCCCTTTTGGCATTTTCGAGAAGTGCACTTTCGACTCTAAAATAATTGTTCAAATAATACACGGCATAAACAATAAAAGTGGAACGAAGTCTATATTCATGATAAACAGATGGCCAATAAAAAGTAACTCCATATTAATACATCCACAATATGCACAAACAAGATGAGTGGCATTTATACCGAAACATAATCATAACATAGTGTTCAATTGCTAATAGTGTGTCCACCAACCACGTAAGAGACATAACTTATTTTTGCTAAATGTATTTAGTCCGATTCCTAATAGTGTTGCTGTCAAATCAAGATAAAGGCCAGAATACTTATTTTTGTTGAATGTATTTGTTGAACATTTTGCCCAAGCCATTTGTTTTGTTTTACCTAGAGCCGTATCTGGCATTTCTCGATTGTTCCGGAATCGAGAAGGTAATTACGCCACCCTTTCTTTCCGCGATATAGCTAACCTTCAAAAACTAATAGACAGATGCCTTACAGGGTGAAAAAAAAATTCTGAAAATACAAAAAAAAAATAGTTCAAGAAAGATTGCAAATCAGGTGTTACATCTGATGAATTTCACCATTATTATCACAATCTACCTGTATTATCCAACAATGTTAAAGACACGATACCTGAATCTTCTATTGAAGATAGTGACACATACGTAGAGTATTATGCGTATGTGGACAGTACCAAACGATGGATTCTTAGTTTATAATTTGTGAAGACTAATTATGTTTTGAATACCTTTTTTCATTGGAGTTTTATTAAACAGTTTGAAATTTTTACTGATTTTTTATTCAATTTTAACCTTTTGAACAGCGTTTTCTCGAAACACTAAAAACGTGAGTTATATAACCCGACGAGATATATATTTGTTTTGTTTTATTTATTAGTGGTCCCCACTAATTTTAAATGGATGGCCTAAAAAAAGGGACCTTCATCAAAAAATATTGCGGCCCGTATAACATAGCAAACACGAATGTGGCTCGAGGGAAAAAAGGTTGAGTATGGGCTGCTCTAGACATAATAAAATTGTTAGATTCATTCCATAAGGCAGTGCTTCTTCGGTGTTGCTTGCAAATTTTTACCAAACCTCTCACATCTTTTTGTCATAATTTATGGTCTACCAATACTTTAACCCTTGATTTTAATAGATCGTGTTAGTGTTTCTCACTGAATATTTTGGCATTTTCAGATCAGTCGCCATTTCGCTTAATTTGTGTGGTATAGGGACACGTTTCTCCATTTAAAAAAAAAAATAATCTTATTTGCTTAAATTTTGACTAGCTATTTCTGTATTAGGAGCGGAAAGTAATACTTTGCCGCTTGAGATAAAAGATTATCGTATTTTCTTTTTCCCACCTATTTCCTAAATCGTGGTAAAATACCTATTATAATTAGTGTAAAGTAACAAGAAACAATATCACCGGATGAAACCGATATTATAAGATTACTTTTCTCATAATTCTCCATAAGTATTTGTCCAATAACAAAGTTTTGAAATCAACTTGTTAAATCAAAATTCTTTCTTCAACATTTTTATATTCCTTTTTTTGTTATTGGACAAATATGGAGAACGATGATGACTAATATTATTACATTAGAAATACAAGTTTTGCATTCCCTATATCTATTTTTAGCTACCAAATAACTCATCTGTTACACTTTTACCAGAACATTTAGTAAATCAATTAAATAATTTTGTGCGTGTTTATTCATATTAGTAAAAATGGAAGTTAACACTAGTACAAAAGTACCGGAAAGTAACAATGCTGATGGTACACCAATACCAGTTATTAGAGAAAACTGTGCAGAACCGTGCTCTCTGGAAAACACCGTTGTAGACAGTAACACACCCGTTAACAATGACCAACCACCCGAGGGTTCGATTGTTTCAGAAACTGATACAAAACTATCTCCAACTCCCAGTGAAGAAAAACTTGAATGTCAATCAGAATCAGGATCACAAACACAAAATATTCCAGTACAGGTTAGTATTAAAATATATTATAAGCGGTAAAAATTCTAAATATTTTAAATTCAAATGAATTCAATAAAATCCACAAATAGTTTCGAAATAGCCTCTTTTTAGGCATTTAAGAAAATAGTCTTCAAGATGCCTTTAATGCCAAACTAACCATTTTTTTTAATTTCCAATAACCAATAAAGTTAGTATAGTAAAAAGTAAAAATACAGTATAATAGGATTTTTTTTTCGACCTCGAGATTTCGACGGATCTTTACGTTTTGGATCCCCTGAATCAGTTTCAAAACATTTTCGCGATGATATGTCTGTATATGTCAAGACTGATAAACTCTAGTGCAACTTCCATAAGAAGCAATATTAACCGTATTCTATTGTTAGGTTCTGGATGTGGACTCCTTTTACTCTTTTCACTTCGTATCTAACTTCACATCACTGAATTACAATGATGTAGCATGGACTGAAGTTAGTTATGGAGTGAAAAGAGTAAAAGGAGTCCACATCCCGAACTCAACATATGACAGTGCATTCTGAGTGTATCAATTTCACTTTCTTCTTTACTATATCGTACACATAATACTTAGTGCGCACTGCCAGTGCCATTGAAAAACTCAGTAACACCATTTTCATTAAAGCCAAAATGAATGGGCGCGTAGACTTCCTGACTAGCAGTCGGATTCTCATCTTTCGATACGTGTCGTATCGAGACGCCTATCTTCATTCGGCAGACTGCGATTCTTATATAATATCTTTCTATTCGACACGTAACGTGTGGAGTTCACCCTGTGCAGTTTGTCACTATTGAAAGCTATCAATTGTTTTGTTTTAGGTAAATGCAGGTGCGGAAAATCAATCACAAGTTGAAAGAAATGAAGCGAATATACAAGAAATGCAGCAAATTACGTCAGAAAAATTACAACCAGTACAGGCAGAAAAGATAGAAGCAATACCTGCAGAGAAACAAAGAGACCAGATGAGCTCTGCTGCTTCAACTTGTTCGCAGTCGCAGCATGAACGAGTAGATAGAAACCAAAGTGATATTTTTTCGTTAAAAAATGACCATGTACAATCGTCCATATTTTCTATAAAAGGAACACCGTCAAAAAGGGTAACTAATCATACCATCTTCTTTCATTATATTATTTACGGGTCTAGGAAAATTAACCGCCCGCAATTGACCGCCAGCAATTGACCGCTAGCAGTTTACAGTCACAGCAAATGATCGCTTAAGCAATTTATAGCCTACAATAATTATTGATCGCCGGCATATTTATCAACAGACAATACGAGTAATAAACACAATACGCCAATAGTCTTGGCCCCCATTGGTAACTTTTACCGCAGTCAATGTAAGGTGACTATTTTTTGTATATATTCATTATCGTATCATGCATAAACACAACAGGTTGTAAGCACAAAAACTGTTTTCGTCTGAAAATATGCACCATTTAAAAAGAAATCAGTTCTAAGCTGGCATCGAGTAATAAAATTTGTCATAAAATGCCAGGTCATCCGATTTCTCAGTTTGTCCGGGCAAGAGGATTTGTCAAATCATCAGATTTTGGACCATCTGAATATTTCAAGGACTTCGGTAAGGCGCATATTGGCCTTTTTCCAAGAAACGGGCGGTGTTGGACGGTGACTGGTCGAGCCAGAGTGACATCAGAGAGGGAAGACCAGTAAATGGCAAATTTTACCTGAAGGAACCTAAGTATAACCGTAACATCCCTTCGAAGTCATTTTTTGCGAAAGTACCGGAGGGTAGTTTCGAGTAGTACCATAAGAAAAATATTTCATTCCTCAAATCTAAGGACAAGAAGACCTTTAAGAGTGCTTAGGCTCTTACCCCACACAGAGCTGCACGTCGCACAGGAACTGGCCTTTTACCACAATGTCGCAACGTCCTTTTTTCGGACGAGTCAGGATTTGACCTACAGAGTGATAGCCGGCGGGAAAGGGTCTGGAGGGGTCCAGGCAGACAGGGGCGACTTACTTTACAAAGAGGTGTTATTCCCTATTAAGGCGGATCAGTGATGTTTTGGGGAGATATAATGTTTGTTCATCGCACCCCACTTATTTTGATTGAGAGAACTATGACAGGTATCATATACGCTGAAAACACTATTCAACCAATCATTCAGCCTCTGCGCAACGAATTTTGAAACTTTATTTTTTATTTTTCAAGACGAAAATGCCAGACCGCATCGCAAGCAAAGGGTACTGGTTCCCACAATCACCAGACATGAATCCCATTAAACATATATGGGATTATCTTGGCAGAGCAATATCTAATCGAGAAAACCTCCCTTTAACCCTCCAGGATTTGACTCTGTAGCTGTTCAAGAAAAGTGGGACAATAAGTCTGATCATTTTATTGATAACCTGATCCGCGAGATGCCACGACGCGTTGGCCAATTGATTGAAAGGAAGGGCGATAATGCAGACTATTAAGTTAATTATTTCACAAAAAATAAAATCTTCTTGCTTACAATTTTTGGACATTTTTTTGTAATTTCCTTTATCCTGCATTATTCAAAAAGCAAATTACAAAGGTTGTGTATCACAAAATTTTGCTTTTTTATTAGCTGTTTGTAACAATTATGAAATGCCAATAAAAATGTAAAATTCTATGACAAATAATTATAAGGGATAAAATAAATATCATACAAAGTTTTATATAATTATATTTACTAAAAGTTCCCAAGAAAAATAAATAAAAAATATATCAAAGAGATGGCAATACAAAAAATTATTTTTCATGCACTTCACCCCCATACAAGCAGAGCTTATGCGAAGCAAGAATGGCTATTATTATTATTTACTATGGCGCTCCCGGACTTCTTATAAATGACTCTTTAAGAAAGTTACTCTAATATCACAAACATTAGATTACTATTTCGGTACGTTAACTATCTTTGACTAAAAAAAAATCAGAAATTGCACAACAAATAATTAATTTACTTGATAGTAAATTTTTAAAATAAACAAAAAATGAAACAACAAATTCTTCTTGAATCCTAGGAAATAAGACAAAAGCAACCATCCATATAAACTGAAACAAAAAAATTAAATGCAGTAACTTCAAATCATTTTGTTTGTCTTTTAGACATTGCCGCAGATCTCATACTATCATTATAATACTTTCTTATTATTAATGGTAGACACGTTTTAACTAAAGGAGAAAAGACGTCTGTTTTATGTTCTTTACATGTAAACCAGAGACGGCTTGTGGCTTAGTCTGCGAGGAGGCTGGCGCACCCTATATACTTTATACAAATATTTTTATTAAGTATATAGGGTGTGCTTCAAAAGTAGCCTCCTCGTAGACTAGCCCACGAGTCACCACTGATGTAAACCATTTAAAATCAGCATGGTCTGGCAAACAAAGTTTAATTTTCTGAATTATGTTGTCAATATGACCCAAAAGTGGTAAAACAATTTCATGAATTTTTGAAAGAAATTCAATAACATTTCTTTGTACATAAATCAAACGTCTTTTATCATCATTTTCTTTAAAATAAGTAGGTAAAAGTATCGATGGTCTTCTAACATGTCTGTACATTAACTGTACACTCTTTGCAGTCAAAACTATTAAGTTTCTTAATAAACCCTGCAACATAACTAGTGGCCTGACTCAAATTCTGCTTCATTTAATAATTTTGTATATATTATTAAAATGAACTTTATCTTCACAGGTACTCTGTTTGGAGGTCTGATATCAATATTACCAAGTACTACTATCTTTGGTGTATCTGGTTTTGAGGGTGCTAAAACAAGGCAAAGCAAATCTTTTAACAGTCTTGAACGATTTGTGTTTGTAAACGAATTTGTATCAAAATATGATTTTCACATAATGTATTATGATTGGTTGTACGTGGAATGAGTGGAATGTTTAAAATACGACACCATTCCTTTCTTTGATCAATATCAGAAGGAAATTTAAAAATGTTTGTTCTTAAAATTTACGTTTGAAATGGGCCTTATAAAATGTACTATAACAATTAGAAATTATGCGTTTATAATTAATTCTGCCTGGTAAAGACATGTTAAAGCATCAAAATACCTTTACTTGATTTTAAATAATCCTAAATAACTTATATCTAAAATAAATAAATAAAAGTAGTTTCACTCACATGTTTTCGTAGACAACCAAAACCATAACATAACCGCACATTTGTTTGATTTTGATGTTATTTGTTGAAAGCGCGCGCGGGGCCCGCTGTAGCAAGCAACCAGCAGTCATGCAGCGGACAGAAAGCCATCTTCACATAGTACAAATAACTAAGTGAAGGCGTTTTTTTTTTAATTTGTTGTAATATATGAATTAAAATGTTTGAAAGAACACTTGCTACTGAACGAGATGTTATTAAATTATTCAATGTGCTTTACATTTTAATACAATTTTGCTATTGTAAAACGAACTTCAGAGCACCCAAACGCGGAGTTGCATGCACAGAAACGTGTTTACGTAGTAAAACGAACTTCAGAGCACCCAAACGCGGAGTTGCATGCACAGAAACGTGTTTACGTATTGTGCAATGATATAAATCCCCGTGGGAGGGTTCATCTTTATAGAAAACTAGTTTTTGTATTTCCGTTTCTTTCGAATTTGATTTTTATTTTTAGCGATCGTAAATATTCTAAATAAATTTCGATTTACCGTAGTCAAACGATTTAGTAAAAATTAATATATACATTGATACAATAGAAATAGTTCCTCTAGTATATAATTGCGATTTTTTGTGTTTTGTTAGGTTTACAAACAAAGGGAAGTAACTCAAAATAATATATTTCCTGGACAAGATATGAAACAGGCTCAACCACCCAGCCAAAGCCAGACAGAACCTGAGGATAAGATGAGGGACAAGAACAGCTATCACAATGTAAAAAGGCCTTCCAGTTCTATGAGGAATCCCTTGACCGGCACGGGCCTTATATCCAATGATGAATACAGATTTAGAAGGAACAGAAGAAAAGCAGAGTTGGGTAAGGCTGCAAGAATACTTTTTGATTACCAATAAAATATTTAAATATTGTTGACTTAATGATCTAATATTAACGAATAAGAAATAGATGATGTTCATGGGAATCATTGATTTATTTGTGAATTCAAATTTTTTATATTATCATATTATAATAAATTTATTTTGCTAGCGATACAGCTACTGTCAATTAGAATAGCCTTTCAAACGGTGGTCTAAAGCATCGCAATGACGTGCCAACGTTGGCGATGCTAGTACATTCTCGTACGTTCCGGTGAATCGAGCAAACTGAGACTTTCTAGAAATGGGCTAGGAAAACGAGAATAACGTCTGCCGATATAAAAACGATGCAACCACGGTAATAAAAAACAAATTAATTCAAAACATAACCTTTATTTCAGACTAGGCCCCAATGGGGTCCATTCTAATCGAGCCCAACGCAGCATTAAAAATTAGAAAAATAATATATTTTACATGTAATCATTACTAGATTTATTACTGACATAAGTAATAATTTTAACCAACTAATACAGAATACAAAATTGAAAATAACATCCAGTTTTTTTATAATCCAGGGTTAATTTGAACCAAATTTTACAGAATAGATCCCCATATGTCTAAAGGTAAATTGCAATTATATCTATACCTATTGCTGTTGATATAAGATGGGAATAAAATATTAATTATATCTGTAAAAAGGTTAATAGCGGTTGTTATGCTCTGCATCAATTATTAAAACAGATTATTACATTTAACCAACGTCTACAGGTGTATTATGCAACTGTATATTCATATATCATATAACATTTTCTTGCTGCTACAACGGCTTCTTTTGCTGATGTAAAAACCCCGTAATTCATCCTTTACCCGCTTAAATAAAAAGTCATTAGGTGCTAGGAAGATAAGTCAAACTGTAGTGCTCCATTCTGAATTAACAGTACGTCTATCCTCCAATGCTACAGCTGAAAAATGCTCAGTAATTCCAAAAAAAGTAGCGACCATGTTTGTTTCCAGGCTGTTATGCCGTAGTCTTACTTGGTTATTACACAGTTTAAAGAACATATATTCTTTAAACTGTGGTTATTACTATCAAACGGTTGTGCTGCAACAGCGGCAGCCATCTTCATCGAACACTTATAGAGCATAACGACATCCTAGTCAGCTTTGACATCATCTCTTTATTTACAAATGTGCCACTCAAAGAAGTAGTCAGCTACATAGGTGTTTTTTCAAGAGCGGATCAATCTTTTCCGACACTCGCTCACAACATAATATTTCGAGTGGAATCAAACATTTTATAAACAAATTGACGGAGTCGCCATAAGCAGTCCACTCAGCCTAGTTGACGCCAATTTTTACATGGAAAAATTTTAAGAGAGAGAGAAAGCTATCCATACTGCTTAAAAACAAATAAAGCATTGGCTGAGGTATGTAGATGACACATTTGTTAAGGAGCCACGGGAGAAAAGACCGTCAGAATTTCCTAAAACATCTGAACAGTTTTCATCCAGTTCACCATGGAAATAGAAGAAAACCGACAAATTCCTTTCCTAGATGTGTTAGTCAGCCGAGAAGACAATAAACTAGGCCACAAAGTATATAGAAAGAGACGCATACAGATCGATACCTACAATATGGATCCAACCATCATCCAAAACAGAACCAAGACACATCAACGATGAAATGAAACAACTAACAACAGTGTTACAAGCAAACGGATAAAGGAAACAAGACATAATCCGTGCTACGCGCCCAAAGGAGAATAATACCAAGTCTAGTGAAGAACAAAACGAAGGAACTGTCCATCTACCGTACATAGGTGTCACTGACCGAATTGGCAAAATCCTAAAGAAAAAGAAAATCGTCACTGTCTACAAGCCAACAAAGAAAATAGGGGAATATCTTAAAACAAGCGAAAGACCGCACATCAGTAGAGGAGTCTACAGAATATATGCACTTGGAAAAGTATGCATAGGACAAAGATAAGCATTGGTACACGACAAACAGAACACAAACTAAGTTGTCGTTTAAGACAAACCGAAAAGTCTGCAGTCGCCGAATACATATTATCCGACGGAGAACATAAGATCCTTTTCGAAAACACCGATCTACTAGCAACATCAAGACACTACTCGACCAGATTGCACTTGGAGGCTATAGAAATAAATAAACATGAAAGGAACTTCAATAGAAAGGAAGAAAAACAAAATTACCTAGGATCTGCCACATATCATTAAAAAGCGTAAAAATAAACCCGCCTAATACCAGTACTGCCAAAAAAGAGCGCGTAGACACTCGGAGCGAAGGATTCAATTTCAGTTGATATAGCACAAGTAGAAGTTGGAAAGGCTTTTGCCAGTTCTCCCACTTTATACACATAAATTGACAGGTTAGTGGTGGATCTAACCGAAGTGGACGCGATACACTGGCGTACAAAAATAATTTTATAGATGTTAATAACAATTTCGAGTAAATAGTTTAATAAATTGTGAATAGCTGTTGAAATTTTGTAAAATTATGATTTGAATATTATTTATAGTCCATAAATACATGCGATTGTCCAATTCCGACACTAGCAAGTAAACATTACTGCGAAATTCTCAAAGCCGTCCGACGTGGTTTGACGTTTACCCCCTTTCTACCTACCAAAAGCCTTTCCAACTTCTACTTGTGCTATACCTCGCGAAGAGTACTTCGTCCATCGTCCTCGCCACTAAAGATGGCTGCCGCAGTTGCAGCTGAAACGTTTGGTAGTAATAACAAAGTAAGACCACGGCATAACAGCCCGGAAACAAACAATTACATTGACGCTGGCCGTTAAAGCCTACATTCTTACAGACCATCTTCTTGTTTCGATTTTTTTCACAAACTAATTTTATTTTAGACAACGCATTCTCAAAGACCCAAACTGATAAGTGTTGCTTTTTTGTTTTTTCGGGATCATAGCAGTACCCCCATATTTGAACTAAAGTTAAGTTGTGGGAAATTCACCGAGAATAAATCTTACGGACTTTCAAATTTTTGTACAAAATAGAGTTAATTGCTTTCCAATCTTTAAATTTGCTTGGATGTTTCTGACAGTAATGTCCCGGTGCTCTTTAACCATGTTCCCAATAAGATCCATATTTTTTCTGTAACTGTCATTTTGGCTTAGGAGTTAATTTAAGGAAACTCGACCACGTTGAAATTCATTGTACCACCGCTTTAAGGTAGCGAAGAAACACGACTGATCACCAAGCGTTAGATTCATTTCTTCAAAACATTCTCTGAGGTTTAATACCGAAATCATAAAATATACATAAAGATAGGTAACTAAGTGGACGTTGACACAAGTAACCTGTACAACGTACCTGTCCCAATGACAGACTGTCATTCTGAACCATTGCATATTACAAAGGCCATGAGCTGACCATGAGTTATTTTTCTACACCACAGCTTTTATCTTATACCTTTCATCGTAAACGGCCCACACAAATTAAAGATGTTAGGAAAATATAATAAACATGGTTCTAAAATGCCAACTTAAAACACCATATTTCTTTTAATAGAAAAGTTATAGAAAAGCACAACAACTAGTATACTCAGCTAATAACAAAGCAGGTGGTATCCGTTAAGAAGGCTATTCTAAGTTAGACGATTCCTCTACTGCAAGAAAGAAGTACTATTAGAAAATATGTCTATTTTCTGCACACATTTTAGAATTTAAGCAATTATTAAATTTATTAATAAAGGTTTATCAACAACATTTCTTTTTTAGATGGAAATCCTTTACTGGGAGTTGGATATCCAGAACAAGCAAGCCCTGTTACATCGACCCCTGTTACACCACGGGTTCCACCTGGAGGTTTTTCGCACAATCTCTGGTGATTATTTGAATAAGATCGTTACATTGAAAACCCTCAAAAAATTTCAGTAATATTTTTTACAATTTTTTAAATAGTATGTCTTATTGACAACATATATTTGTATATTTTTAGTAAGTTTTTTTCATATATTATATATACTTTATGCATGTAAATATTTATATTACTCTAATGAGTAGGTATAAATAAAATAACGAAAACAATATATTTTGGTCTTATTAGTTTTGTTTTATAAATATTTTATTTATAAAGAGTTAAAATTCTGAAGTTGTTGAGGGCTAGGTGAATATACGAGTACATACCTATAATTATATTACTTTAAAAATTACCTTCAAAAAATGTTAAAATCGACAAATGATCATTGAGATAGAATAAAAAGGAGATGCTATGACGTCTTATGTCAAACTCGAGATAGTGGAGCTAGTCTGTTTTGGTGAGAATAAATTTCATTTTTTTAAATGGCTTCATTCAAATGATTTAAAATCGTTTTCATTCAGTCAGTCTTCAAATATAAAATTATTGACTTCAAATAAATTTCTCAAGTCGCCATTTTCATTACACTTTTCCGTCACTCGAAGTGCGTCCATCTGTCATATCGCAAATTACTGTTTGTCGTCTTTATTACTTTACTTTGTATCTTGATCGTTATGATAGTATCTATAGTATAATTTTTATGAATAAAAAATGTCAATTCATCATATAATCCGTTAGTCGAATATTTTAATTCTTAATAGACATCCCTGCAATTGGATTTACATTTTTAAACCCGGATATAACACAACATACTTGTATATTATTCATCATCGAGTAATCAAAATTATTGATTTTTATTCTTTTTCCGCCTTAAAGACTGATATTACATCTATTAATAAATAACATATAATTAAGCGTAGAAATTGAAATATTAATAATTTTTCTAAAAATGTTACTGTCGGAAATTTAAGATATTCGCTCAGACAAATGAAGTATAGATAAGTAACGGTCTAGATTTTTTTGAAGCCAGTATCTAGCCTTTCTTCTATTAGTTTCTCTTTCTCCTGGGTATTTGGTATGATTCGTCTATTTTAAAAAGTAGCGCCAAAATGTAGTCATTTCGTTTCTCTCCTCTATTTACCTTTAAACCCGGTCATATATTGTAAAGAAACGTAGCGCGTAGCGATTTCTTAAAAAAACCGACCGTTGCATGGAGCGCTGTTGCCAGACTGTGTAATTTATATCTTTCATATTTAAAAATGGTGTTTACCTATAACTCACTAATAGCAACAAGTTTTATTAATTAGAATAGTTTCGAGATATATTGCGACACATCAAGTGTCCCCACCAATTCATTTTCGTACCTAGTGCAGTGTTTCCCACTCCGACGCATTGTGGGCAGAGTTGTTGCAATATTTCCCGAAACATATTTCTAATAGTCTCTAAATAAAATGACTTGTAACAAAACAGAAAACGTATAAAATATGTACAAATTACATTAAGCTATTTTACCTGCTTTCAGCAGAACCAAAGACATTACAACATAGAGACAAAATGTTTCATTCATAAATCCCATACAATTGCGGACTGTTATTGTTTTAAAATTGTTAGTGAGTGGGAAAGAGAAAGACAGATCTCTTAGGACCGGCTGGCAACGTTGTAAACAGTGTCCATAATATGCTCGCCAGTGGCGTAGAGTTTTAAACTTACCAGTAATATAATTATGATTTTTTTCATGTAGATAAATTCAAGTACTCAAGTACAAGTAAATTCAAATACAAGAGAATTCAAGTTACCTTTCGATTTTTAATATTTATTGGTTTATAGTTTATTGGCATTTACTATATATCTGTCTGGTATGATGTTAACCAAAATTATTTAAAATTTTATATTAACATTAAGTAGTATCGTTTTTACATACCTACGCCTGCTAAATAACAACTTTGCAAATACTAAGTTAAACTATGCCAAACACCATTAATAGGCCTGCAAATAAAAGCATGGATTTTAAAAGCGTTAAACGTGTCTACGTCACGTATAGTATTTTATCGATCGATAGTTTGCGACGTTGCTATCCCGTAAATTGTTCCATATCGGGTGTTTTTGTTGATTTTTATACTATTTTGGAAATATTTCGGCTTATAGTTTTAGTGTATACCTAACATGGTTCGCGAGTGCATTTTGTGCAAAAAACTGGATACTGTGAGTGCTGAAGTGTCTTTTCATAAGTAAGGTTAGGTGATGTATTGCATTGTTCAGTGGTGTAAATTTAAAGATTTTTGCCGTCACATGTATTTGCTGCGTTTGAATATCCACATCCGATGCATTTTTTACATCTCAAGTGTTTGTTTATCCACATCGGACACATCTGTCCTACTACATTTACGTATATTGAATCACGTGATCAAAAATTTACATCTCAGATGCATCCGATGTGGATATTTAAACGCAGCATAACCTTTTAGTCTAAGATCCCGCTGCAAAATCACTACGTTCATTAAGTTTTGAGTGAAACACAAATTTTTACATGATTTTATGAATAGGAGAATACACTGACAACACCGCAGCCAGTCAAAAGTGGCCGCAAGTAATTTTAATTAAATTAATGTTAATTAATATTCCAAAAAAAATTTCGTTTACTTCTCTTTAAGATAAAATATCATCCACATCATAACAATGCATGTAAAGAATTCTAAAATCCTTAAGTGCCGTTCCATACTCGGCCGCAACTACCTCGCAGCCAGGTGTAAGCAGGTAATATTTTGATCTATCTATACGTTCGTGACTTACACGGATGTTTTTTATATCAAATTAAAGCTAATTTTTTTTCTAACATGATGATATATTGCTGCCTATGAAAAAATAGCCGCAAATTAGGAGTGCCATCAGTTAAAAACGCGAGATATCTGAGATAAAATGAGAGAGAGTTAGCGCGCAACGCCAGATGAGGATGGTGAATGCCAACTGTGTGAGTATTTGAAGCTATTGCGCATGCGTCGACAATAGCAATAGCTTCAAATACACAGTTGGCATTCACTATCCTCATCTAACAAGTGGCGTTGCGCACTAACTCTCTCTCATTTGATCTCAGATATCTCGCGTTTTTAACTGATGGCACTCCTAATTTGCGGCCATTTTTTCATAGGCAGCAATATATCATCATGTTAGAAAAAAAATTAGCTTTAATTTGATATAAAAAACATCCGTGTAAGTCACAAACGTATAGATAGATCAAAATATTACCTGCTTACACCTGGCTGCGAGGTAGTTGCGGCCGAGTATGGAACGGCACTTAAGGATTTTAGAATTCTTTACATGCATTGTTATGATGTGGATGATATTTTATTTTAAAGAGAAGTAAACGAAATTTTTTTTGGAATATTAACATTAATTTAATTAAAATTACTTGCGGCCACTTTTGACTGGCTGCGGTGTTATCAGTGTATTCTCCTATTCATAAAATCATGTAAAAATTTGTGTTTCACTCAAAACTTAATGAACGTAGTGATTTTGCAGCGGGATCTCGTACTATTTGTTTTACTATTATTTATTTTCTTTGATATTTCAACGTTAATTTCGCAAAAAATTATTATTAATGGAAACACTTTACTCTGGACTTTAAGGTCCCAGACAATACGTGTATTCGGCGAATGTGCCTTCGTACTGCGTCTTCGGCATGCCTTCGGTTACCCTCCCACACACTGCGGCATTTGGAAAATGTTCTGATGTTGACAAACGTTCGCCGCAGGGCCTCAGTATAGAACAGTAGCGGAGAGCAGTGGATAATGACGATGAGCAAGTGGCTGCAGTTGCAGCCTGTATAGTAATTTTAATAACAAAATAAATAATATAACACGTCGCTAAACTTGGCGCGACTCTGACTATAGACAGAATAGGCAATCAACTAGGCGTAGTTGAGCACACTGTCTGGGAGCTAACGCGAATGAGCGCGAAGGCACTTCGTCTTCCTTTGCTGCGGCCCGTTTTACCGACAAGACTACGGATAGCAAGCGAATGCCGAAGAATAGGCGCAATTGAGCTCCCACAATGCCGAATATTCGCCAATTACACGCATTGTCTGGGGCCGGCTTAGATTCCCAATTGATAGACAGGCATACAAGAAGAAATATTTGTGTTATGCTCGGAGCATTTTGAGAGTTTTGGATATATTCAATTTAAATAGTGTAAAAACTGAACATATTCAATTTTTTTGGAGATCACATTTTTGATGGCGATATTTTGAAAATCACGCACTAGATTTGATAAAAGCTGATATTAAAACATTATTTCAATATTCGCATTCATTATGAGACCACAAAAAAGTTGGATATTTAAAAAAAATTGAAGTAGTAGTTTAGAAACGAATATTTTCTTTTTTAAATAAAAACAGTTTTTTCAACGCCTATCACTAACGCAGGTTTATTGTATAGTTCTACGTATTTTCTGATTTTTTAAAATTCTTATCGGTAGATTCGCTATAAGTAGAGTTCCATTTAAAATCTCCACCTGGTACATTTATTGATTTATTAACTTTTATAAATTTGTTAGTCTTAAAAATCTGAATTTTAATTTAAAAATTTCTCATTAATACCAATGAGTAAAAAGAAAATGAATTAGGCTACCGTATTCCGATACAGAGTAATATTTTTAGTATTATGTCCGTGTTATATATACAGTATTCACAAGAAAAGAAGCAGCGTAATGACTCCTTTTTTGAATTGTATTGAGACACAAACAATATAGTTAATTTTTTAGAGCATATTCAAACGGAAGCCGAATTTTTCTTTCAACTATAAAAGAAATTATTTTTCTCACCTGATATATCTTCCAACCTAGTTACTGACAACAAAACCATCCATTGCCTACTATTACCATCATCCATACTTTTGCTTATCCGATTTATTCTATACTTTCTCCTTCTACCCCTGGGCTCACAAATGAGGCCATCGCCAAAAGAAGACATCACTTAACTTTTCACTTGCTGGCCTTCCCGTCACATATTTTAATTATGATTTATTTTTCTTTGTTAGTGTTTCTCGGTATAGAATGTTTTAAATTTGTTTTTTATGGATCTTGACCTCTTTAACGCGAATGGCTTAATTATTAACAGAAAAGCGGTTATAAATTGTGCCGCTTTAAATGTATTTAAAAAGGTCAAGAGGATATCTATGTATATATCAATGAAAATTATTTTTTTAACGAATGCTGCTGTATTATATACGGAGTGTGCCGTTTAAAGTTAAGAAACCTACAACATGTACAGGGTGTCCGTAATTCGAGTCTGTATATTGGTAAGAGATGAAGGTCGGTTTAATGTGAAATATTATTAAAAAAAAATGGCGATTTTTTTAAACGGCTGCCTAACCGTTATTATTAAAAAATAACACTTTTTAGGGAGAATTTTTTTGTAAAAAAAATCTAAATTGTCTTGTTTTCGAGTTACCTGCTGTAAAGGTTATTTTTATTTTTATGGTGGCCTGATAATGCTCAGAGCTATATGAATATGTGTGAACTTTTTTAGTTGAACTCTATAAAATGGTATATATAATATATAAATATCCTGATAGCTCAACAGTTTTTCTACAAAAATATTCTCTATTAAAAAGTGTCTTGAGAATGTAATAATTTATACTCGTAACATGTAAAATTAACGGTTAACCTATTTTTTTATCTTCTAAAAATATGAAAGAATAATATTTATATTAAATTCTTCTTGTGATTTCATTACTATATGTTGAAAAATATAACTTTCTTAGGGGTCTATTCTGTAACACTTCCTTTATATTTTAACGGCCGTTAAAATATTGGCGGCCTTTAAAAATATTTTTGAATTCACTAACTTACTTCTGTCATTATTTAAACGGATCCCTTTAAAATAGTCCTCAAATAACAATCATTTTTAAAGGGATGTTAAAATTCGCCTTTAATTTTTAACGATTTTGAATTGAAAATTGAGGATTTGTATGTTTATGTTTTCAAACTAGTTCAAATAAATCTTAAATGTGATGTTATCAAGTGTTCTCCTGTCATTTTTAAGGGAATCCGTTAAAATAAATAATTTTTAACAGGCCTCTAAAATTTAACGGATTTGTTACAGAATAGACCCCTTAATGTTAAAACAATTAAAAGTTATCTAATTAAATTGTACGATCCTACCATTCGAAAAAAAAATCGTTTTTTATAAAACTTGAATGTCAATGAAATTTAAACTTTCATCGAAATCATTTTTCTAGATCACCTATTACTAAAGATTAGAAGCCTTTTTGTGTAGCTTTGATTGAAGAAACATAAGACATTTAATTGGTCAAAAACGTCTTACGAATTTTGCACATTACTTTATATATTTAGGAATTGACACACACGAATTCAACTTCAAACTGAAATTGAATTAATAACAGCAATAACCCTAAACAAACACTTTGATTAGCACAATTAACCGTCGATTATCCGTAATTTGTCTCTTTTCGCGATAACTTCAATATAGGCGTCATACTGAGATACAAAAACTAAAAATTAATACGCCAAGTGACGCCGAAAAATTAAAGATAGAAATAATAAAGGTTCAGCATTTGGTAAGAGCGGAATAGTAGTTGTAATCAAGACGAATACAAACATTTATGTCATCTTTTAATTTAAATCAATTTACTTTATTCTACCAGACAATGATATCAGCATCTGTTTTATCTTAGCAACCGAATTGGCGGCAGAGGCAGAACTGTTAATTCATTTAAGGCTTATTGGTAACGGCAGTTTTACCAGATATGGACGTGAGCAAGTCTAAATTAAAAACACTGCTTTTTCTTCGATACTCCTTATCCACTTTCTAAATGCGAATTTATTACATCATAATCTGAAAACCAGCAAGAATATTAAATTGTGGGTTTCATATTTCAAATAAATTTATTTTACAATGATGATAAGATAAAAATTGAGTTGTGTGAACCTGCACCTCGAAATTCGAAAATTTTGGGTTTAAAAGAGGATGCATGCGTCCCAGAAGTTAATATTTTTCAAAAGCACCCTTTGGATTTTTTAAGTCAGAGTCGAAAAAAATCTTGATGAGTCCTATACTTTCCTTACTGGATACAGGAAAGTAAAAAAGTCCATAAATATGTTTCAACGTTTGACCACCCCATAAAATAAATCTGAGCACCCCAAAAAGGGAAAAATTTGGAAAAATATAATTGTCAAATCGAATTTGGACTTGAATGGGAATTTGGATTTGAATGGTCAATCATCATGAGGGCACAATAAATATCCAAAATGGTTTACAATTATGTTTCAGCGCCCTTAGAATTATTTTAAGAGGTAGTCAAACGCCTAAACATATATCTAAGCCTCTTTGGATCTTTAAGGTGTCCTCTTTGGAGGTGCTATAAATTATTTTAGGAGGTGTTCAAACATCGAAACATAATTCCAAGCCTTTTTGGATCTTTATCGTGGCTTTCTATCGATTGACCACTTTTTCTTAATCAAAATTATATTTTGAAATTATTTTGTTAGAGAATTGAACTTATCTAATGGCCTATTAACACCAACCAACGTTGAACGTAGAAAAAATATAGTATCCTCTCGGGACTCAACATGTTAAAAGAAAGTTTAGCTAAGTTAAGCTAAGTAGTGATGCGCCCTCTGGAGGAAATTTGTAAAAGGTGTTTATAAGGACATTTTTCAGTGTTGCCAGGAGTAACGGAGTAATGTTGCTACATCGGATTTTTAGCCCTTGAAGAAGTGGAGACCTTTTATTTTTAAGTAGCGAAATTTGTATCTACCAATATCTAATCATACTCTACATGTATTTAAGGATTTTTATAAAACCGATTTAATTATATTGATTTTTTTTAAATTTCAGTTCATTTATCAATTTTGTTTTAAAATCAGTTCATCAGTTGGCAACGTTGGCCTTGTGTTGTCTATTGTCACTCGTCACCGATAGTAATTTTTATGAATTCGAAATGTTCATGTTTGTGAGCGTTAAATTTGATTTCTTATAGTGTGTTATAACACTGTGATAGTGTTTATTATTAAAAATTAAATTTGCAAAAAAGTCTCTAGGAAATTATATCTATATTGCTGTAATAAAGGTTGTACTTTCGAATCAAAACGGAGTCGTTAATTAAGTTTATTTCATTATTTTCCAAAGAAGGGCAACTTATTAAAAAGTAAATAGTTAATTATGAAAGGGTCAACATTTCTATTCTAAAAATCGAAAACAACCTTTTTTCTCAATGCGAGTGTGTTCTTGCATTTCATAGATGAAGATTTTTGTTCATTTGAAGGTAAGTTGTTTATATGAAGTGTTTAATCTTGTTGAATTCATTATAATGATTTAAAACATCTAAAAACAATTAAAAAATCACATATAAGAAAGCCGGCCCAAAACTTACACAGTGTAAATAAACAAATATCCTACTTATAGATGACAAATGACAATACGGTGGTCTTCTCCGGTTGCTGGAGACGGGGGTGCTATTTAGTGGTGTTTGTTTTTAATTTTGGACTGTTTTCCAGTGTTAGAGTTTTTATAATATCGGTAGTTTGGTTTTTTAAAAGATAAGCTGCAAAACAGCTAGGAAAAATCATGTAATGATTTCCATAAAATTTCAAATGAATTACTTTTAATTTGAATTATAAAGAGAAATATTGTGTGATTGGTTTATTTTAAACATTTTGGATTAGGATACGGCCTCCGAGCCAAACTCGGAACACATTTTGTTTATATCATGAAATAATTTGAAATTTAAGCATGCCTAGAGCGTGATGTAGTATTGTTGTTTGCAGACACAATTTTTACAAACAAAAATCATCAGAGGAATGGGACTGAACCTAAACTGAAATTATTAAATTAATTGCAGCTTTGCCCACCCTACATTTAAAAGCAGATGAGATGGTTTCTTACAAACATTGAACACAACCAAGAGCACTTTTGTAAAATTAAAATCCCCAGCAAGAATATATATCCTTTACTCAAATGTCTTATCGTAAACGCTTTAGAAATTTCTCCTGAACTCTTTTTAAAATGATTTTTAACTCATTTTTACTAAAAACTTTCTGTAGCAAACCTTTTTTTCAATAATTTATGTTCGTTTAGTAAAGCTCATTGACTTTTCTTGCTCAAGGTTGTGTTTAATGCTTGAGAAACCATCTCATCTGCTTTTAAATGTAGGGTGGATAAACTTGCAATTAATTTAATAATAATTGTGAATGATAATTGCAGAATAATACTCTAAAATCTTACAATTAGCCTTTAATTTCAGTTTAGGCTCAGTATATTTCTTCTAATGATTTATATGTGTAAAAATTGTTTGCAAACAGTAACACTATACAGCTCGCTTCATAAATGCTAAAATTTCAAAATATCTCAAGGTATAAACAAAGTGTGGTCCCTAACCCAAAATGATTAAAATAAACCAATCACACAATAATTTTGTTTTATAATTCAAATAAAAAGTAATTCGTTTGAAATTTTATGGAAATCATTACATGAGTTTTCCTTATAAATAAAAATACAAACACCACTAAGTAACAATAATAGTACATTATATACCTAGGGTGAGAAGTGAGCTATTATTTACCGAGCACTTTTATATCCTGAGGCGCGTAGAGCCGAGGGATATAATGTGCGAGGTAAATAATAGCTTTCTCAGCCGAGGTATATATAGAATTTTTTTTACTACTAACATTAATGTATTAGCAATTTTAATTTTGACATAAGTAATTTCCTAACAATTTGTTAAATATTTCGAAATATCAAGCAGACTGGAGCGTGTTTCTAATCAGACTGGCTTTATTTATGTAAAAATTTGGCATGTGTCAAATTTTTGTATGATTCTAGGAAATATCCCATTGCATTTTTGATATTTTAATGACATGGATTTATTGTTATTAATTAATAATTTTTAAAGCCGGTGTTGAATTTCCTAGTTAATATATATTTTTACTGTTTACACTGATATATATATATTATCATATTTGATTTGATTAGATTTGATAAACCCAGCTTTAGTTATTTCCTACTTATTTTTCAAATATTTCAAAATATCAAGTAGTCTGGGAGTTTAGTTGTCAAATTAACAAAATGAAACTAATGAAATTTAGTTTCATTATTTACCTAGGTTTTTTTTTATTATCATTATTTACCTAGGGAGAGAAATATTACTTCTCATTAGAGGAATGGAGTAAATAATGGTGATTTCTCATGTTAGTAGTAAAAAAAATATATTTTTTAAAAAATTTATGTACGAACCCAGTACAATGTTTTCTGTCAACTCTCTTTTTCATTACGTGACGTCACTCCGTCCTTAGCACCCGGGACGAGGCCACCGTTTCAGTCTACGAATCGTGATAATACATACATAATGTGGGCCACCTTTAAATATTTCAACC